TACGTAAATGTTTGTTTAAAATTTGAAAAACATTTTACAAATAGTTGTTAATATTAGAAATTTGTATTTTTTATGTAAACCTTAAGACCAATATTTTAAAACATTTTTTCAACATATTTGTCAAATCAAATAATAATTTTGGAAGGCATAATATTTGTTTAGTACCAAACATAATATATCTTAAGAACTATGCATTAAACAAACCTCTTTCAAAATCTAAAACCCTTTTCCAAAATATTTTTCATTTCAAATATTATTTTGAAAAACATATTATTTATTTAGTACTAAAAATAATAAAACTTAAGAACATATCCTAAATAAATATTTTTCAAAATTTTAATTAAGTTTATTTAGCTTAACGTTTTATCATTTCAAAATAAGGATAAATTCAATACAGCATGGTACAAATAAAAAAGCACAAACTTAAATGGGACAAAAGAAATCTAGATTTAAAAAATAAAAAAAATTAAAATATAAATTTTTATCAAAGTTTTATAAAAAATCTCACCACTCTCGAAAAAAGAAAGAAATATATATACAAACACAAATTTTTTTGTTTTAGAAATAAAATTCAAATATCATTTTTTTAATTCATTTTTTTTTCAAAAACCTCATATCTTTTGAAAATACCAAAAGAAAAAAAAACAAGCACTTCTTTTCTTTAAAAAACCTATAAGTAGCTAATAAACAATAAATATAAAAATTGATAAAAGATCACAAAAAATAAAGAAAACAACATTTTCTTAATAAATGAGAAGCAACATGTAGGGCTTTAGAGTTTTATTTTGTCCAAAGTTTTGGGTTTAGGAATTTTTAAGAGGAATTTGAGAAGTTCAAAAAATGAAAGTGCCTAAAAAAGGTAGAAGATAGGTTCAATGGAAGTTTATTGGTAATTGGTGGTATATCTAGGTTTTTAAGTTTCAAATTTTAAAGATTTCATAAAAAAGTAATTTTTAAAAAAAAAATCAAAATTGATAAGGTTGTAAAGAAAGTTGATAAAAATATCTAGATGAAATTATGGATCATTTTGTTGTTAATAAGCAATGATTAATAGAGATATACAACAAATAAATTTTGACTAAAGAGAGCATATTAGAGAAAGAAGAGGATAAATGAAAAAAAAATTTCATTTTGATTTTTGTAGCCTAATAAAAAAGGTGTGTTTTGGCTTAAAGAGTTGGGATTTTTTTTTTTTGGCTGATTAGTTTTGGACGTGACCCAAACAATGTAGTTGATTTCAAATTAAATTTGATTCCTTTTATATGGATAAAACTTAATAACTTTTAGGTACAATTTTAGTATTTTTATTTAATTTAATTTGTGATTATTTGTTTAACTAAATTTATGAAATTTCTTTAAAAATAATAAATTAAATAATATAAATTAAATAATAAAATGTAACTATTTTGGATAAATCTCTTAAAATATGAATTTTAAAAAATTACAGCTAGTAATTTTTAAAGTTATTTTTGGTGAAAAATATTTATAAGACTTTAGCAAAAGTATTTTGACAATATCTTGATACTATTTTCATAAAAAAATATTGATTTCAAATTAATAAATTTAATTAATAATAAAACTTATTAAATATATTATGATTTTAAATAATAATAAAATATTTGTAATAAGATATATACACTGGAAATGAGCCTACATGATGTTACGAGTTCAATTTTTTATTAATTAAAATAAATACATTTACATAAATTTATTTTAATTAAAAAGATATAAAATAGAAAAAACAAAGGAAAAGAACAAAAAAAGAAAAAAAAACTAAAAAGGAGAAAATGAACTCATTGAAGGTATTACATGGCATCTCAATTAAGTTTAAAATGTTAATATCTTAAATTAAGATATCAAATAATACTTTATCAATAAAAAAATTGAAAAAAAAAAAAAACAAGAGAAAGGATAACAGATAAGTAAACAAAAGAAAAAAAAAAGCAAAAAGAAAAAGGGCATAGAGATCAAAGTATCACGCGGACATCTAAATTAAGTTTAAAATAGTAATATCTTAAATTAAGATATAAAATAATAATTTTATTAATATAATACAAAAATAAATATAAAACTAAATAGATAATAAAATATTTACTTTTATATATACCACGAGATGGTTTAAGGTAGAATATCTTAAAGATTCGCATTTAATTCGGCTCCACATTCTTAAATGAAAATCAACTTGACTCGATTCGATATAGTTTTTCACAAAAATGTTTATATCGAATCAAGATAGATTAAAACCTATTGAATATAGATTGTTTTGCTATTCCTATCAACCAACTCATTTTGTTATAAAATTAATCTAATTGAAAAAAGTAAAAAACAAAAAAAAGGAAATAAATAAATAGGAATGTTGCATGGACATCTTTATTAACACTATTTTTTTTTTTACAAAATTTATCTAAATAAAAAAACAGAAAAAAGCAAAAATTGTTTTAAAAAAATTGCCCTTCTATCAAATCAAGTCGAATCAAAACTCATTGGATGCAAATTATTCTGCCATTCCTATCCATTGGCTTCTTTTATTATAAAATTTATCTAATTAAATTAGTAAAAAAGGAAAAGGAATAAATAAATTAACGAGTTACATGAACACTTATATTGTTTTTTTTCACAAAATTTATCTAAATAAAAAAATTAAAAAACTAAAAAATTGAAAAAACAAACTAAAAAAAGCAAGAAGGAATGAAACATAAATAGCCATGTCGACATTTTCAATAAGGGTTAAAAAAAGTCAAAATGAGTAAAATTTATATAATAGATGGATAGATGGATGACATCTTAATTATGTATAGATAAAGTATTTTTATTAAATTAAGATATTAAATAATAACTTTATTAATATAATACATATATAAAAATAAATTATTAATTAAAAATATAATTTAATATATATACTTAGGGTAAGACAAACTACCTTAAATCTGCCTTTAACTCGATCTTAATTTAAAAAAAAAAAATTCGATCTGTTCACAAATTAAAAAAATGCATTTATTGGATTTGAACGAATCAAAACTCACTAAATATGGTTGTTTTATTACATATATATACATTGACATTTAAAAAAAAAAGATTTTATTTATTGGTTTCTTTTGTTGAAAATTTATTTAATTTAAAAACATAAAAAGGTAAAAGGCAAAAAAAAAGCGAAAAAATGTGCCATATTTACATTTTTTTTTCAAAAAATTGAACTAATTAATAAAAGAAAAAGGAAAAGACAAAAAGCAAAAGTAAAAAATAAAAAATAAAAAAAAAGTCGAGTTTTCATGCGACATTAGTAATAATGACATTTTCTTGCAAAATTTATATCATGGGTTTATATATTGTATTTTTAATTTAATTTAAATTAATTTTTTTCATATTTAATAAATATTTTTATATTTTAACTTTTTTTTGTGTGTGGTCAATTTGATATTATTGATTAAAAATATCTTTTTCTTATACCTTAAAACTAAAAAAATAAGAAATGGTAAAAAAAAAATCTAAATGCCAAATTGACACTTTCATTAATATCATTTTTTCACAAAATTATCTAATTACAAAAAAAAGGTATGAAAATATAATAAAAGAACATTTTAATCAATAATGTCGAATTGATTCCACATAAAAAAATAAAAAATAAAAAAAATTATTAAAATTTAAAATGGGAAAAAAGGAAAAAATAAATTAAAACAAAAACAAAAAAAAGAGTAAAGAAAAAAAAACAAATGGTTGACGTGTGATATCCTTTCGGGACTCACATAAGGAAAATTTTAAAATATAATAAATATTTATTAAATATAAAAAAGAAAACTAAATAAAAAAATTTATCGGATAACACATGACATTTTTTGAGTTTGAATTTCTATACAAAATTATTTAAAATATTAACAAATATTTATTAAATATAAAAAATAAAAAAATATATAAAAAATTAAAACAACACCGACAAACTTATCGTATGTAAGATTTATATATTAAATTATTAATTAATTATTAATTAATTAAATAGCAATAGTCTATCAAAATGGGAAGACGTTAAAAGTCACTTTGGATTCATAAACACGTCTAGTGTGGAGATGCGGTTATCAATAATTTTTGTGTCAATCAGCACTAAGTAGCAGTGAGATTTTTGTCGATTACTAAACTGGCCTTTTTATTCTGATGACTAACTGATCATTCTTTTTTTTTTTTTTTTTTTTTTTTCCCTTTTTTACTCCTTACTTAATATTATAAATACAAAATATCTTTATGATTTTTTTTATTTTTTTTGTGATTTTTATTTAAAAAATATAAAATAATTTTGTTAATTTAATAGAAAAATATTATTTGATGTATTGTTATTTGATTAATTTTTAATTATTTATTAATAAATTATTATTTAACATTAAAATAATTTAGCAAATTTTAAATAATTTATTAATTTTATAAATATGAAATAATTTGAATATATTATTTTATATAATTTTTAATTTAATATCTTTAATAATTTTTTAATATATTTATTTTATCACCACTGTTATTTTTATACCTAACCATATATGACACCAATAATTTAAATCTTATAATTATAATAATCAATATCATTTTTTACATTATTTTTAATCTCACTTGAATAATTTTACTGCCCTGCCAAATGACCGAGAGGATGAGTATAAATGGGCACGATGAAGGTTGACTGAAGGCGAGAAATCCTCTCCATTGTCTGCCTTCTTATCTTCCAACTCTCAGGTTTATGCCATTTGTACACAGTCACAATAGATTTCCGCTTTATCTTCCCAATTTTTATTTACTATATCAATTTTTCTTTTTAAGTTCAAATAAAGTAAAACCAAAGACAAGAACTTTTTTAAAATCTGTAAAATAAATCATGGCCATAAACCTAGATTTCGCATCATCCTCTTCTTCTACAGATCCACAACTGTCGCGCAACTTGTCATCCAGTCGACTCAACGCCCAGGCGCCCGAGTTTGTGCCTACTCGCTCTGCGCCTCAGCAGCAGCAACAACAAAAGCAACAGCAGCAGCAGCAGCAGCAGCAGCAGCAGCAAAGTCAGAGGATGATGATCCCTCCTCCTTCGCCCCCTGGGATGCTGCAAGTCTACCCTCCTCATCCTACTCCGCCGGCGGCAGCGTTTCACCTCCCCGTTCATAGCCCTGTGTCTGTGCCACCTCACATGGTTCCCGTCCACCTCCATATGCCTATGCGTAATCATCATCATCATCCTCACCAGAATCATCATCATCAACATCGAGAGCAAGAAGTTGATGCTGTTGTGAAGATGGATCAGCAGAAGGAGCACAAGGATCATGGTGCTACTCCCTCCAAAAATGGACTATCCCAAGAAGCTACATTAAAGATTTTGAATCAGGTCAGAGGTCACCATACATTACTAACATCACCGAATCAAAGTTCCCGCTGCTGCTTTTTGCAATTTTTAAATGTTGCTACTATTTTTGGTCTCTTTTTTCTTATCCTTCAAATTATTTCTGTTATTTCTTTCTTTGAATTTCTTTGTCTTTTATTCTAGAATCTGATTCTGAGATCAGCTGATCATTTGCAGATACATGAAATTCGAAATGATCAAATGCTGGGCTAATGTTGCCAGCTTTTTTAAGAATTTATTTTAACCATCCTGATAACCAATTTTCTCAACATGACTTTTCCCTCTGACTTATTCCTTTATAATTTTTTTTTTTTTAATGTAAAACAAAACAATCAATTTTGCAGGTTGAGTACTATTTTAGCGACTTGAACTTGGCCACCACTGATCATCTTATGAGATTCATCAACAAGGATCCTGAAGGATATGGTATAATTTCTTTCCATTTGGGAGCCAACAGTTTTAGACTCAGAACTTTAGTTTATGCAAATTTCTATCATTTAAAATGTTCATGCCCATTAGTATTGTTTATACTATACAGAAGATTAACATTGCTATTTATAATCTAGTTGCTTATTTCCATTTTCTCAGTGCTTTGCTTCACCTCTTCAAATTTCTTTGTTAATTTACTGATATGAATTTACCCAATCTTACAGATTTTTGACTTGTTCTAAAACTGAAGATTTTGATCTTGTTTTAATATTAACTATTCTCCATTCAGACTAATATTTTCTTGCCTCCGGTATAGTGCCAATATCCGTTGTTGCATCTTTTAAGAAGATTAAAGCCCTTGTTACTACTCATTCCCAGCTAGCTACTGTTTTGCGGAACTCAGTGAAGCTTGTGAGTATTTTCCTTGTACTCATGTTTCATGCACTTACATTTCCTTGTTAATGTTTTATTGCTACATGTAGTTACTTCATATCTCTTCGATGTCCTTGCTTGTGTCTTTTTTATTCCATAATGTACAGGTAGTTAGTGAAGATGGAAAGAAAGTAAGACGCCAACATCCCCTCACTGAATCAGATATGGAAGAGTTGCAGGTGAGGGTTTTGTTCATTTTTTCCATTCTACTTCTTATGCAACTTTATTATGTGTCTTTTCCTGTAAATTTCAAGTTTGTCTTTGTAGTCAGGCAGTCTCATAGAATATTTGTATGAGATATTTGTATTTTATCCTACCTTATATTATATTCATCAAATCAAGTATGCTAATGCTTTACATATTGCTTCCAAATTCTTGTAATTTGTAGTCTCGCATAATTGTTGCTGAAAATTTGCCTGATGATCACTGCCATCAAAACCTCATGAAGATTTTCTCTGCTGTAGGGAGGTACCAAGATTATTACCTTATTAAACAAATAATAAACTCTAGGTTGTGAGTTTTGCTTTTATCTATGTTTATCATCTCTCTTTGGACCAAACTCTCTTGATGTTTTCATTCTTAGTGTGAAGACAATCCGTACCTGTCAGCCCCAACCATCTAGTGGTGGGGCGTCTTCAACATCTAGGTCTGCAAAAAGTGATGGCATGCATTTTAGTAACAAGGTACATTTGATTTGTCTGGCATGTGCTAGCTACTTTATTTATTTCCTATGGAAATATATCTTTTTTACTCAAATTCTATGGAAAGATCTCACTTTCTATTGTATTTATCCTGATAAACAAATATTAATGGTTGTATAGTGTGATTTAATTTTGGATTCTTAATCTTTTTTGTAGTTGCATGCATTTGTGGAATATGAATCTGTTGAGTTGGCTGAGAAAGCAGTAAGTACTATTTTCCCTAGGATGGCCCTTTTTACCTTCCATGGTTATAATAAGGATATATGTCTAATTTTGCAGGTTGCAGAATTGAATGATGAGGGAAACTGGAGGAGCGGCCTTAGGGTTCGCCTAATGCTTAGACGTGCAGTACGTAGTTATGATATTTAAGTTTTTTGCTTTAATTATTTCTTTAGCTTTTTTCTTCCTTTCTCTTTGTCATGCCTCCAACCTGAAGAATAACAGACGCCATATTCCTGCAAGAAACAGTCTTGCAAACATGCAAGGCAACAAACTAACTAAAATCTTTTCAAAATTCAAGGAGTCCTAACATATAAAATAAAATTTTTGAAGTTTCAAATGCTACATTGAGAGGGAAGGGGGGTTGAGCACCTTTTATTTCCCTAAATTGGGGTAAAAGGAAGGGAAAGGAAGAATTAAAATTTCTAGAAGCTTAAAATAACTATTATATCTTTATTGTTTTCTTTAATTTTTAAATAAAATCACATTCGAGTTTTACAATATAAAAGCATTCTTACCACTTCTAACTCCTTATAAAAATCTTAGGTAGCCTTTTTTTTTATTCTCATCATCAAGTTCTCATCTTGTTGGATACAAGTAATTTTTCATGGATATTTTAATCAAAAGGATAATTTTTTTTTGAATTGTGGTAAGGATTTTATACTAACAAACCTTTTTATTGTTAATTTTTTAATGTGTTGTTCTTATTTGCTTAGCTAGACTTTTTCCTCTATTAACAAAATGTTGGTTGAACATAAAATTAAAAACAAAAAAATTTCTAGGATTTCATTTGGGTGCCATCTATTGGACATTTTTTGTGTATTATTTTTAGCTTTAGAAATGTTTCTTATTGGGAAAGTATTATTTTATTGTTTTATAATTTTTTAACAACAGATAATATTGTATTTTAGTTAAAAAAACGATGTTAATGGTAATAATTATTAATAATTAATTTCAAAGTCAAACACATTATTCACAAAAAAATTCTTTCAAGTCAAAGAACATATTAAATAGTCTCACAATGATATCCTAACACTCAAATAAACTCAAACAAATTATCTAATATTCTAGGACATTATAGAGCTTGTGTTGTAGTATTCAATAATAGCAAACAACACAATGAATTGGGGATATAAAGTTTCATTGGCAAAAAGTTAACTTAAATAGGAAATCTTCAAGTCAAATTTATAAGTTGGGTTGGAGAGGGTTTGATTGTCCTATGTATAAGGAGACAAATTAAAAGTTATGAACACAAGATGGGCATTTGTCATCCCAGAAAGAAGAAAATGTTCCATACTTCCATTAAATATTTTAATCAACACCCTTTATTTGTAATAAGGATAATATTATTTAAAAGTTACAAAGTCACATGATACATCACAATTCGGGATCAAAAAAGGGCTTTATGAATCTAGATGCATGTTGCTAATTAAGATATAATTTCATACTCCTTTCTACCATAACGTAGCAGCAATTTTTTATTTTATGTCCTTAAAACAAAGACCAATTAAACAAATTGAGATTAAGAAAGAAAGGTTATCCAAAAACATAATCTACCAAAATAACTAGCATTAATTAAAGAGGAATTGTGAGCTATACCTAATCCTGTCTCATTGATAGTTGCTTTCATTTGTGAGCTATACCAAAGTTCTAATTCTATCAATACCAAAAATTGGACTTACCTTAAGGAGCCGTGGTGTTCCTTGGAGGTAGTGTGGGAGTAAAATGAACTCCGACTCCATGAGCATAAGGTGAGCCTTAACTCTTGAAGGCTGAGGGGGACAACACAGTTTGAAGTTTGATCTAAAAAGCGAGAGCTTGGACTTGGAGTTGGAGAGCAAGTGTTGAATGTGAATTTAAAAAAAAAAAAAATAGTGAATGGCTATGGAGGAGTAGTGTTATGTATGAGAGTCGACAAAGTAAGAGTGATTAGGGCCAAAATGTTTATTTCGGCAAAGAGTCAGGGAGAGTTAAGTGAATTAGGTCTTACAATGGGCTGTGGGCTTGGTAAGTGGGCTAAATGTTTTGATTTGGGCTTTCAATTAGACATATGGATCATAACCCAAATTGCAATTTCAACTTTTTGGGCTTTTTTTAATTCGGGTTTTTCAAAATTTGATCAATAAAAACCGAATCGATTTGAATTTATTCAGTTTTGATGATTTCATCTATCTAAATTCAAATATAAACTAAATTGTTTAAAACTTGAATCGAATCGATCTGGACCCCTCGGTTCGAGTTAGTTTTTCTATTTTCTCAGTTTTTTTGTTAGCCCTAAGGTTACCTACATTGTCAAATATTCATTTTTCCAACTTCAAAAGCTAGTAACTCCTAAAATACAAAACCAAGTTAGGTACTATAAATCCTCTCCATAGGAAGGATTGAGTTTTGCAAGCAGCACAGACATGCTTGCAATCAACTCAATATCTACCGCAAGTTGAGCACCTAAGCCCTTGTTGAGGTGCCTTGCCATGGTAGGATTGAGTTCCTCATAGAGTAAACCTCTTGAAATTTGGAAAGACCATTAAAGGTCCTCTTGCCTCGAAAATCAGAATCTCTACCTCTACCTTTTTTATTTGGAAAATCTCCTCATTTAAGACTTCGCACTACTAACCTTTTCATCATAACTGATCAAATGCAATGAAGCAAGGCATCAATAGATGTGAGGATTCAGGCCATTTTCAAATCACATAGCTTTATTTTCATCGTCAAAAACAAGAGAAGCAACAAACTTTGAAAATGTATCAAACTTTACGTCATAATCATCCATGGTCGTTCTACAACAACAACAACAGAAAAAAAAAAAATCAAGCCTTTATCTTATAACTCTAGGGTCGGCTTCGACAATCGTTCTACCTTGAACCAAATTAAGAAACTCTCTTTCCAATTGTCGCAAATTGCTTTGAGAGAAATACTTTGTATAAAAGGCAGTTAGGAAGTTGTTCCAAATTAAGAATTTAGGATCTCACTTGTGAGTGTGAGCTACACCTTTCCATCGATTATTTGCATTTCCTTGCAGCAAGTTGGTAGCAAATTTGATCCTAATCCATAATTCAGTATCATCAGGTGGTGCCATCTTAAAGGCATCTAAAGCTTTCCATTCTATTGAATTGTTTCCTTGTTGCATTGGTGGCAATGGCTGATATTGTCATTGCTCCCCAAGCAAATTCACTACCTCTTGCATCAATTCAAACACCTTTTCATCACTTTTAGCCATTGCACATGGTGCTCCCCCATTTTGGTTAGTAGGAGGCATGTTAATCTTGGCACCTCTTTGAGCAATAGGTGCTTTAGTAACACCTTGATCTTGGTTTTGATTTTGAGAACTTTGTCATTGGGAGTTCCTAGAACCATCATTCTTGGCATTGCTGACATCTTAGCTAAACTAAACTCACGATTACGAAGAGACATGAGGTGCATATCAGTATAAATAACATAACCATGAATATATCACAAATGCATATTTTCATAATTTAGTAAAAGTGATCACAACAAATAGGAATTAGAAAGATTAATAATAATAAAAATAACAAATGAAAGCATCCCAAGCCTAAATTTTTTACCCCACTTAAACTTTGCTAAGATGTTAAAGTGTCTCTAACTAATTGATATTGTAAATTTAAAATTGAAAAACCTAAGCTTTGATACCCTAAATCTGTCACACCCTAATGCAAGGCATAACAAACTTCACATACCTGCAAGATAAATCTCACTAACATACAGGGCGATAAACTAACTAAAATCTTTTTGAAATTCAAGGAGTCCAAATGCTTAAAATAAAATTTTTGAAATTCCAAATGATATATTAAAATTTAAAAGTCGAGTACTTAAAAGGGCAAGTTTCCAAAATAACCATTTGAAACAAAGATCATAGAGCTCAAAACATAAGCTTAGGCTAGGGATGGTAGCCCTAACTGCATCTGGCGGATTCCGACTCGACCCGACTTCTTTCGGCTGGTTTTTTTTTTTTTTTTTTTTAAATTGGGTTTCAAGTCGAGTTGGGTAACAGTAAAAAAATTCGGGGTTGGGTATTAGGCAAACTCACCCCAACCCGACCCGACCCGATATATATAAAAAATTATTTTTTAATTAATTATTAAATTTTATATTTATATATGTATATATTTAATTTTATGTTTATATTAAAAAAAAGTATTTTATATTAAAAATAATATTTTATTAATTTCGGATCGGATTGGATTGGATACAGTTTTATACAATATCGGGTCGGATTCGGGTTTGGGTATTAAAAAAAAAAAAAAAAAAAAGGTCGGGTCTGGTATTGCAGGTATAAAGTCAGGTGGAGTTCAGAGCAAGCAAAAACCTGCCCGACTCGACCCGTTGCCATCCCTAGCTCAAGCTCTTGAGTAAGCCAACAAATATAGTCACTAGATTAAAATACTATAACAACCCTAAAGTGTTATAAATCTTGCCTTAATATCTCTAGGATCATAAGTCACTGTTTAGAACTCCTGCTCGTATGACTAAGCTTCGAACTTAAAAGAAATATTTAAACGGGAATGAGTATAACTACTTAGCAAGCAACTAACATCCCCTTAGGTGGGTTGAGTAAGATCAAAATATTTTTGGCCAAATTACAATAATGGTTCCATAATTCATATGTTTTGGGTAATCATATATGTATAGGCATATTGTTTTGAAATAAAATATTGTATTAACAAGATTAATATATTTCACAAGTTTCAATTTCATAATTGTCTTTTATCACAATGCCAAGGCCCCACATAATTGTAGTGGCATAGGTCAAAATTGTATAAAAAACCATTATTAATCCCAATGGCATGGTTAGGCATAGCAAAAGCAACCAATGGTTGGACAAAGTAGATATCACGAAAAACACTATTATACTACCGACAGCATGACTCGAAATCGGTTTCTAATAAAAAAAATACATTTAGACATGATCAATGATTAATCTCCATTGGTTGGGTCAAAGCTTACAACAACAAACTAACCTTTATATCTTGTAACTCTGGGGTTAGCTATATGAAAAGCCCAAAAAAGAATCATTTTAGGTGATAATTTTAAATTTTTTTACGCCACTCATTTCTATAGAAAACAACCTTTTCATCTACTTCCTTAACCCTCGTATTATTTCTTATTATTTGTATCAATGTCTTTCATGGTCTACCTCTAGAAGTTTTGGTCTCTCCCAAGTTTAGAAGCTTATTTCTCCTAATTGGTGCATAGATAGGCCTACGTTTTACATGTTCAAACCATCTTAAATGGCCCTTTCTCATTTTTCCTCACTTCGGGCTACCCCTAATTTTCCTTGAATCTCTTCATTTCTGATTTTGTCTCTTCTAGTCTTACCCAACATCCATCTAAGCATCCTTATCTTGGCTATGCTAATTTTTTTCTTATGTTGTTTCTTAATGGCCCAATACTCACTCCTATATAAGAATATAGGCCTTATAGTTATTTTATACAATTTTGCCTTTAACTTTAAAGGCATGTTGCGATTACACAACAAACCCAACGCACTTTGCCACCTCACTCATCTTTCTTGAATCCTATGATTTATAACCATTTCTATTTCGGTATCACTTTGAATAATTGATCTCAAATATCGAAGATGATTACGGTTGGTACTACCTTACCATCCAACTTAATTACACTAGTGCTCGTTTCCTTATGACTACTAAACTTACCCATATATTCAGTTTTAGATTTACTCTATTTAAAGCCTCAAGACTCTAGCATATGCCTTCATAATTCCAATTTCGTATTGAGATCATCACTAGTTTCAACAACTAAGACTATATCATCAGCAAATAACATACACCATGGTACTTTCTTTTGGATATGTCCAATGAGCTTGTACACAACTAATGCAAAAAGAAATGGACTTAGTGCTGAGTCTTGGTGCAATCCAAAGGTAATGGGAAAGCTATCAGTCAAGCCATCAAACTTCCTCACATATCTTTAATTATATTAATGTACTTTAAGGGAACTCCTTTCTTCATTAAGGTCCACCAAGCACCTCTATGGGAACTCCATTATATGCTTTCTTCAAGTCGATATAAGCTTATCGACTTGCCTTTTACAAAATTCAATGCGCTATAATGTCGACATATATCTTGTGATGAATTAAACACAAATTAAAAGTATGCGTGTAGTATTATAACTTAGAATTTTGTTTTGATTAAAATAAGTATAGAAATTATGAGTTTCGGCCTAAATTTTGAAAATCATCACTCCATGCCCAGATTTTTTAGGTTTTGAGTTTTAGCTTCAACGAACTGACATTGGCACTTCGATTGTCTTAGCCTTTACAACATCTTACTGAATTTATTATCTCACTAGAAGGATCACACTTCTTACTACATAAATCATCCAAAGATGGACCAAAAAGGTCATTGGAAGGTGTAGTTCCAGCAAGCCAAAGTCATGCTACCAATACTGTCAAATACTCATTTTTTTCCAACTTAAAAAATTAATAATTCCTAAAATATACAACCAAATATGCCACTGGGGGACCTTTGGAATGGTGCTGAAAATATTAAACATTTTAAAACTATGTTTTGGATATTGTAGAAAACCATACAAAATGTAAGAGTTTTAAAAAAAAAATTAAGCTAACTTTTACATTATAATTGTTAAAGGAATAAAACTAGAAAAATCTTGAAATTTCTCTTTTGCTGCTGGAGGTATATATATTTTTTATTTTCGATTTAGAGTTTGAGAGAAAATAATATATTTATAATAGGGGTAAAATCTGGAAAAATTACACTATGACCCCTCAAGAGTTCTATTGTTCAAAATAGTCCCTCCTATTAAAAATCATTCGAAATTAGTATATGCAATTTAGTCTAATATACCAAAATAAAACACCCAAAGTAAAATAAAATAATATTTTTATGACAAAAAAAATATCATAAGAAGAATTTTGGGAGGGATATTACACTTTTCTCTTTTCATTTTTATTGAGATCTAATGAATTATGAATTCTGTGAAAAACAAAAAAAGATCAAAATTTGTGTTTGATTCCTAAAGATCATTGAGTGGACCATAGTCTGTTTATCTATTGAGCTTTTTAACATGTCATATCACTGGATAGTTTACAGTGTGAAACTTATGATATGCTTGACAACAGAACCAAGTTTAATATTAAATTATTGAGCACTTAGTAGATTATGCAGTTATCGCACCACACACACAATGCAAAGAAAGTCCAATTATTATAATTTTTTGAACTTGTGTCCTATATATATATATATATATATCATATAATTCATTAATTTCAGTTGAGATCTTGGTTTGATGGAGAAAACTCGTCATGTTTGGCTAATTTCAGTTGATTCATGAAACTAGACTAGACCATTGATCTGTATTTGTATTCTCTCATTCTTTAGTCAAAACCTGCTCATGCAAGAGGGAAAAAGGGCCATGATGGGGAAGGTCACTGTGAAGAAGATGATGCTTCTACATCTGAGCAGCATTCAACTGAGAAACAACAAGAAGACCCTTCTCAGTTGTCTGATATCCTTTCACATGAGTATCCTGTAAGTGCCAATCCAATTATTATAATAAGTACTTACATTGACTTAGGTTTTCCCTGTTGTGGACGTAGATCCCCTCTACCATAAATTAACTATGGAAAAAAAGAGAAGATAAAGATAAGACAATGAAATACTGGAAATGGCTCCTTCAAAATTATGAACATGGTTCCATTCTTAGAGTGGCTAATTTGCTAAGCTTATGGAATAATTGGAATTGGGACTTTTAAGTTCTGCTTTTCAAGTAATGGGCTTGTTCCACATGTTGTTTTGTTGTTATGTGGAAGATACCTTAAGATAATAACAGTGAGCAATGCAGTGATGTATATTGTAAAGCATTTGTTCAGCACCGACACCTGTAAATTTTTGGAGCTGGAAAGCAAGCTTGGCTCTTTTGTCATATGCCTGCTATGGTAGTTCCTTTTTTTTTTTATATCCCAATGTCCAGAATGTGAGTGTCATACCATGATTTGTCTTGTGCAGAGAGAGGAGCATTCCAACGACAAAGAGGGTGGGCAGAAAAAAGGGCGAAACAGGGGTCGGGGCAAAGGACGTGGGCGGGCTCAATTCCATAATAACCATCATAATACTCGCGGAAATCATGTGAGCACTCCCCTTTCTGCTTCAAGTAATTTGCTCAGCAATGAGCAAGCTGTAGCAAAGCAGCCCCCTGGTCCTCGAATGCCAGATGGCACAAGAGGATTTGCTATGGGTAGGGGAAAGCCAGTTGCTGTTAATACCGCATGATTAATATGTATACTACACAATCTTGTAACTGTGTGCAATGTGATAAAGGGGTAAGGAGATGTGTATTTGGTATTTGGTGGCAGGTAGGGGCTGTTCATCTGTGGTTATTAGTTGTAGTTGAAGAGTAAAATTACATGATTAGTGAGTGTCGAGTGGCCATTTTCCTATGATTTTGTATGTGGGTATGGATGATGCAAAACCATATGCATATCTTCGTTTTTTTGTTTTTTTTTTTTTCGTTTTTAGCTTTGATTGATGTAGTGTGTCGATGACAAATACCCTATTATATAGAGTGAGTGAAGAAGCAATAATACTTTTGGTTAGAATAATTTGTTTTGCTTTTCTCTGTGTATGCCTTTATTTCTTTACATTGGATTGGAGTTAAGAGCAGAGTGGTTGGCAACTTTTACAGGATTGCTAAAATCTGAGAATGCAAACATAGCCTTCCCTTAAACATGTATTAAGAAAGTTTGTGATCCTCCTTGAGGCCTCTCCTTTACAGGAGAAACGAAATGTGCCATAATTGACAAGGCAACTTTGGCAATTGCTTGGACCAAATAATTTATTGGCATATATGCTCAGATTAACAAAGCTTAGGACGGTAGCATTGGTTAAATACTTCAACTGTCGTGCTGCAGATTTGATTTGAGGTTTTTATGTGCCAACGGTGATTTCAATTTTCTTTCTTAAAAAATTCGTCACAGTAGTTTTAATTCAATATTTAAAATGGATTTGTCCAACACTTTGCCAAATTAAGATTCCACTAATGCAAATTTGCACATTGCAGATAATAATACAACGCAATAAAAAGGTGTTCGAATGTTATCGTGAGTAAATTTGATAATATGTATATTCATATTATTTGAAATTATAAAAATTTTTATATTTATATTATGTTTTATATAAAAATTATTTATCATAATATGTATTGATACAACAATAAACATATTTTTTGTTTTTATTAGATATTTTTTGCTAAAATTTAATTTATATCACTTTCATATTTCCTTTTCGTAATGTATTTATATCTTATCACTATATAGTGTTTTGAATTCTTTGGTCTAGTCATGAATCAATTTTTTTATTATATCTACTCATCCTAATTTTTTACAAAATTTATCAAATAAAAAAAATGATAGGAAAGAAAAAAATAAACAAAAATAAAACGTAGATATCTTAATCGATCTTCTTTTTTCATAAAATTACTCTAAAAATAAAAAAAAAAAAGCAAAAAGTGAGAAAATGGTAAATGAAAAAGTAGAAAAAAAATAAAAATGAAAAAAAAAGAAAAAAGTTATAAGAGGATGTTACATTGATATTTGATATTGAGTTTAAAATAAAATTTTTTAAATTAAGGGAAAAACAATAATTTTATTAATATAATAATATATGTATAAAATTAAATAAATAATAAAATATATTTTAATGTACATCACAAAATGGGAGTAAGGACAAAGTATCATAAATATACTTTCCAAAACACTAAAAAAAGAAATTACAAATAAAATCAAATTTAGATGTCTTGTTAACATCAACATTAATATTAAATTTATTTTAAAAAATCAAATTAAAAAGTAACTAAAAATATATTTTTAATAATAATATCAAATGGATCTAATATTAAAAATATTTAAAAATATATATTAAATAAAGGGAAAACTTATAAACAAAGAAGATTAAGAAGCAAAACGAAAAAAATCATATTACTTGACATATGACAAACTTTTGGTATTAAATGTGTTATTAAAAAATAAAATCTAAAAAATCATTTATTATATATATACAAAAGGAAAAAATAGAAAATAAGAAAAACTAAAAAGCTAAAAAAAAAATGAGATACTCTTAGTATCAATTGGGTTTAATAAAAAATAAAATATAAAAAGATTAACTAAGTTTTTATAAAAAAAATTAGTATCAAGTGGGTCCAAACTTTAAAAAAAAAATTATTAAATATTAAATAAATAAAAAATTAAAAACAAGTGACACCAAACGAAAAATTTAGAAAAAAGTAAAGATAAAAGCAGGTTTCACAGAAAATATAATTGAAAAGTAGGCCATTTAAAGAAATTATAAATTATAAAAAGATAAAAATAAAAAAAAGGCAAAACAAAAAGGTGAATCTCATAAAAAAATTATGGATCCCATTGAAATAAATACATTATATATAATATAAAAAATAATAAAAAGACATTAAAAGAAAGATCCCATGTAAAGCAAAAAGTAGTGAATTCCATTAAAAAAATTATAATAAAATATATTAAAAGTTACAAAATAACATATCAAAAGTTAAAAAAAAAAACCTAGCAAAAACAATGTACCACACCAATAGAAAGTAATGAGATCGTTATAAAAAAAATTAATTTTATAATCAAATATATAAAAAAATTAAACAATAAAAGATAACATAAAAAAATAACAAAACAAAAAAACTTTGAAAGTGCGGGTCCCACCAAATAACAAAGAAAAGAAAGAGAGATCGACATCTGACACAATATTACCCTTCGTATGCGGCATTATATATAAAATATATTTAAAAAAGAAAAAATGAAAAATAAACCCATTGCTCTTTTTTTATTTTTCTAATTAAAATTTTTTAAGCAAAGAAAGAAAGAAAGAAAAAAAAAGGATAGAAAAAGATTGGTGGAACCTTTCCCAAAATCCTATCTATATAATGGTACAGACCTTAGCTTAATGAAATTATAATTTCCAAAACTACACAAAAAAGAGAAAGAAAAATAGAAAAGAACGAAGAAAAAAGAAAAAAAACAGATAAGAGAAATCAGGAGAGAGAATTAAAATTGTATTTCCAATAGAATGATGTACAATTCTTCTTCTACTATTTTGTGCTTAGATGATAGCAACAGCCCCAAATTCTCGGTTGCCAGCTCTTCTAATCTCTCATTCTTTTTTCACATAGAAATAATATCTTAAATGATTTAAAACACAAACAGTAACATAAGGGCCTTGTTTATCAAATCTCATAAGAGTCATGCCCAAACAAAAGATGACAAAGTCCAAATAAGTATGAGCCAAGATAGAAAATAATTAATTGGCACGTAACAGATACTCTTATGAAGAGGATTTAGCCCTCAAGGATCAAATGCAATACTCTTTCTTTAATTCAAACAGAACCATGTTTTCTCTTTTAACCATCCTTCTATTTAGAACTTTAATTGATTCTTGCACCACAATGCCATATTCATTAACTATACGTATATTGTTAGTGTTCAAAGCCTTACTCAATGTTTTGATGAAGTAAAGCCTTATATCCCTACTCATGCACCCATTTGTAATATCAAATGTTGGCACTACCATGCTGCGAGTATCAGCTGTCATAAATGGTAGATTAAATGCAGCATGCATTGATAGTGAAAGTTTGATTTGAACTTTCTCAACAACTTCCAAAGCTTTTGAAATGTGAATTTTTCCTTTGAAAAATCAATTCCCTCAATTTTCATCAATTCACTCACCAAGAAATCCATTAGGGCATTGCCAAAATCTTTTCCCAAGAAGGAACTCCATTTGTTGCCTTGATCTCAAGGACACCATTAGAATTCTCCAATATTGAAATATCAATCTTCTCACCATTAGGATAAAAAACTGCAAAGAAACCTTTCTTATTGTTCATTCCATATAAGTAGGCATTTACAGTAGGTTCATTAACTATTCTTTGAACATTAAGAGCATCATTGTGCTCAAGAGCATAAGCCTAGAATTTTCTTTCCAGTTCAGCTAGGCATTTCCAATTTGAGTATTCACCTCTTTCATTTTTCCTGGATGTTACACATTGTAACTTTACTTTTTCAACATTTATATTTTCCTAAACATATCCAACTGATTTTTTCTAAAGTTTTCAATGCATAATGTAGACACTCAATTTTGTCTAGATCAATTCGAGTTTGTTCAATTTTGTACTTGATTTGAATATTTTGATTTGGGCTCAATCATGCTTTGTTTTAAATTAATCATTTTCAAATATTTTTGTATTAGATCAATTTTAAGTTTAAGTTTAAAGGCCTAATTTTTTTTTTTTAGAGTTCAATTTTGATAAAAATAGGCTTAGAACATTTTTTTAAAAAAATCCAAATGTAATATTGATGACCCAAATACAATCCAATTTCAAGGCCCAATTACTCTAAGAAAAGATAGATTCTATCTCTGCCAACAAACACCACCCTACTCCACTACTCTTCACCCTGCAACCAGCAATTTGTTGGCCATTACCCTATAACTCTAAAGAGCTATTAAGCCTTGGATTGTTGTAACCCCAATTGATAAATAAAAATTCACAAGCACCATTTGCAAATGGGGATAAAGCAATTATTTTTTTTTGGGTTCCAACATCCATTTTGCCCTGCACATACTAGGCCAACCCTACACCCAACACCAACCCTTGCCTAATACCAGTCTCAACACATCTTTATCCTCTTATTCGCCCTTGCTTGCACTAGCACCCACACCAACACCGACATCAGCTCTAAGCCCCTCATCAACCTTGCACAGTCCCTATTCTGTTTGAACAAAAACCACCAGCACACCAACCTCAACATCACTAATCGAAAGCATCTCTCTTGGCTTCACTAGCAACCAAATAGCTTTTTTTTCTTAGAACTATATCCAACCAAAAAAATCCAATAAGCACACCAACCCAACTTCACCCTTAAACACTAGCCTAAGCACAAGCCCTAGCCTTTCCTCATTTACTCACCGCTAATGCCTAAACAGCCACCTTTTTTTAACCACATAGAAAACCACCACAAAAAAAGAGTAAAAAAAAAAACACAAAAAAAACGATCCACTCGAAACTTGTGACAACCAAAAATAAAAAAATAATAAAAAAAATCACAATCCTTCTCATGGGGAGGAACCATAGTGCTAAAAGACGCTGTTTAACAAAAAAAAAGTTAAATTTGAAAAAAATAAAAAAAGAGGTGGCTTGCTTCAGTTTAGGTAATTTGAAAGGATTTTAGGTCTTTATTTTTTAGGAGAAAGCTATAAGAAAAAAGGAAATCGTATAAGTTGAAAAAAAAACCAAAGAATAAACCACTTATTATTGTCGGTGGGCTTTCAAAAATCTGAGACTTTGGAAATGAAGAGCAAAGAGTGGCAAATGATATACTGGAACTTAAGTCCAATCGAATGGCGGTAAAATGACTTTTTTTTTGGGCCTTGAAGTTTTAGATTAAAATCTAGATTTACAACTTTGCAAATAGATTTCGAAAAAGCCTAACGGTGGGTAGTCAATGAAAGGTGAGAGGAATACTCGGTCAAAGTTTGGCAATCATCAGAGAGGTCAGTAGCAGTAAAAAATTTTAAGATTCTTCTTTCTTCAACTTTTT